CTCTATCCTGCGGGACACAGGGCAGGGAGACCTCGCAGACATGCTGACTGAGGAGTGTGGACGCCCGTCGGCACCACCACAGCGGGTAGACCTGAGGCCTGTCGAGCTGGAGTTACGTGGAGAAGAACATCATAAAAGTAAGAACCAAGGGTGTGACTGTTTTCTGGGTAAACAGCAGCGTGTAGGGTGGCACCTGGGATTCATCTCACCATGGGCATAGTCTGCCAAGTACTGGGTTTTATTATCCCAGAACCATCAGGGCTGGAGGGCCCTCTGGAGATCATCCAGTGCAACCCCTGCCAGGGCAGGGCCACCCAGAGCAGGGCACAAAGGAGCATGTCCAGGTGGGTTTGGGATGTCTCCAGAGACGGAGACTCCACACCCCTCCGTGGGCAGCCTGTGCCAGGGCTCTGCCACCCTCAGTGTAAAGAAGTTCCTCCTCATGTTGAGGTGAAACTCGTTGTGGTTTAGTTTATGGCCATTGCTTCTTTCTTTCGCTTGAACCCACCGGGACTGGACACCACTGGAAAGAGTCTGGCACCATCCTCCTGGCACCCGCCTTTGAGCTATTGATGTGCATTGTTGAGACCCCCCCTCAGGCTGCTCTTCTCCAGACTAACCAGGCCCAGCTCCCACAATCTCTCCTCAGGAGAGAGATGCTCCAGACCCCAGAGCATCCTTGTGACCTCTGCTGGACCCTCTCCAGTAGCTCCTTGTCTTGTACTGAGGAGCCCAGCACTGGACACAGGACTCCAGGTGTGACCTCACATCATGGGATCAAGGAGAGAGGGAGGATCACCTCGACCTGCCACCACACTCCGTTATCCTGGAGCAGGACCTGTAGAGGTGACTGTGCAGGGCTCGGGCTGTGTGCTCGTGGTGTTAGGAGCACCCTTCTCTGTGGTTTTGCACATGACCTCCCCACTACTTGGTGAGAATGGATTTTGCCATGTCCTCACCACCCTGTGCTCCTCTGAATCTACAGGGGGATCCAGCTTGGGCAGTTGTAAGAAGCAGCTTGAGCCTGTGAAACCCTGCAAAGGGGAAAACAGACATGATGTGGCACTGCAGCCTCGCAGCAGGGTCCTTTTGGGCACCCTGGGTTGGTTACTGGTAGCGTCAAGTCAGGAGGGGGAGAAGTGGGAACTGACTGACTTCTGTCTTTACAGATGTGAACCTTCCAGAACGTTTGTCCATCCCAGTGCAAGCAGAGAGTGAAAGACCTCGGGTGCCTCCTGTGCCAGTCCAGGGTAAGCCATTACCCAGGTTGTCCTGGAGAGCTAGGGAATTCATACACATCACCAACGTGTCAGGGCCAACAGGGAAGGATCGGCATGGATTTTGGGAGGAAGAGGGACAGCACCGTGTTGTGAAGTGTGGGAGAGCTCAATCCTGTGTCTCTGTTGTGTGTTGTAGGTTCGGCTGTTGACAAGTGGAACCGTGATCTGGTCAGTATTTGGCTGGGCTGGAAACATTCCCTATTAAGCAAAGGCTCTGGCCTTATGGGTGGCTGCCAGGAAATAACCCTGGCTTAGCTGGTTCTTGCTCTGTGTCCTCTGAGCCATTGCTCAGGGTCGTGAGGATGCTCAGGGGTCTGGAGCATCTCTCTTCTGAGGAGAGACTGTGGGAGCTGGGCCTGGTTAGGCTGGAGAAGAGCAGCCTGAGGGGGGGTCTCATCAATGCACATCAATAGCTCTAAGGCGGGTGCCAGGAGGATGGTGCCAGACTCTTTCCAGTGGTGCCCAGTGACAGGACGAGGAGCAATGGCCATAAACTAAACCACAACGAGTTTCACCTCAACATGAGGAGGAACTTCTTTATGCTGAGGGTGGCAGAGCCCTGGCACAGGCTGCCCAGGGAGGTTGTGGAGTCTCTGGAGACATCCTAAACCCCCCCGGACACATTCCTTTGTGCCCTGCTCTGGGCGGCCCTGCCCTGGCAGGGGTTGCACTGGATGATCTCCAGAGGTCCCTTCCACCGCTAATGGTTCTGTGGTAGATCCTGTTTAGACTTTGGAAGCATAGGGTTGAGGGTAGCCCTCATGAAATTCCTGTGGTGCTGCTGTTGATGGTAAGGCTGAGTCTCAGGGAGATTTTTCTGCCCCATTCTCAGCTCCTCACGTGGGCTGTTGTGGTCACATTTGATGACGACACCTAAAAAACCTCCCAGAAGCTTCAGCTTGCCATTGGAGACTCTGTGGGTGAAGAAGCAGCTGCTTTCCACAAATTTCCACCCAATTTGGTGGGTGTTTTTGCATTCCCTGGTGCTGATAACAACGCGTGCCTGGAGAATGGAGGCTCTTATGCATACTTAGGCTTGGAGAGATGAAAAAGCTGTGAACTGAGCTGCTTTAAGTACTCGTGTTCCTCCTTGGCATTGCGTCCTGCAGGAATAGGCAGCAGGCACTCTGGATGAGCGGGTGTTTCACTGCAGTGTGTGCCTGGCAGGTTTACCAGCTGCGAGCGGATCCATGTGGGCGCTGCCTGATCCTCAACAACATCAACTTCGCGCCAGGCTCGGGTCTTTCCACTCGCCGCGGCTCCGACGTGGACTCGGAGAAGCTGGAGAAGCGCTTCAGGGCCTTGAGCTTTGATGTCCTGACTCAGAGGGATCTGGAAGCTCAGGTGAGGCCACTGCATCGAGCCCTGGGAGTGTGTGTGGTGGGGATTGCCCCCACATTGGCAGCTTGCTGAAAGCCAGGGCCTGCACTGCTCAGAGGGGGAATCAATTGCTCTCATCTTGCTACCACAGCGTGGAAGCAGGAGAGAAGACCTTTCACTTGTTCACCCTTCCACCTGAACTCTGATTCCTGGTTGTGGTCCGCAGGGAAATGGGTGAGGTTGTATTTCTGCCAGAGCTCTGGCAGCCTCTGTGTTGTGTGTGGCCAGGGGTGGGATTTGCCTGTTGAACAGTCCTTGGCTGTTTCTGACAGCAGTGGAGGGAGCTCAATCATCTGGAGCAGACACTGAAAGTAAACCAAGGTTTTCCACTAATAGGAAGTGGAGCATTTCAGCAGATAGAGAATGAGGGGAGATTGAGATGAGCTCTTAGGCAGAAGTTCTTCCCTGTGAGGGTGCTGAGGCGCTGGCACAGGGTGCTCAGAGAAGCTGTGGCTGCCCCATCCCTGGCAGTGTTCAAGGCCAGGCTGGTCACAGGGGCTTGGAGCAACCTGCTCTAGTGGAAGGTGTCGTTTGGTGGGAGGTGCCCCCTGCCTGTGGCAGGGGTTGGAACTGGAGGAGCTTTGAGGTCCCTTCAACCCAAACCAGTCTGGGATAAGAGCAGGGCCTGGCAGCAAATCTGTGGTACGGTTTGAACAACTGCACTGTGATGTTTCCCATGCAGGCCATGGTTTCAGAGCTGCAGAAGCCGGCGGGACCACAGCGCCCTGGACTGCTGCATCGTGGTCATCCTCTCCCATGGCTGTCAGGTGGGTTCCTCCCATCTCTCCCTTTGCCCTTCCTGAGGCTGCCTGCGTGGGAACAGGGTCATTCCCAAGGTTTTCTGCTCCCTCTGCTGCTGCACATTGCAGAGCTACATTTTGTATCTGGGTGGAGGATACAAGCTGAACTGCTCCTGATACAAACTGTGCCGCTTCTCCAGCACAGTCTGATCCAGCCTTGCCAAGTGTTCTCCGTTTTGGCAGCCGGGCTGTATAATTTGGACCTGAATGACAGGCAGGGAGTGAAGGGAGGCAGCGCTGACCCTCACGCTGTGGCTATTCAGTCCTTCCTGTGCCTCCAGCTCTGATGGGGGAGATGCTATCAGTAGTAAAGCCTGTTTATCTCGAGTCTGAAGCCTTATAGAATGAGGAGGGGAGAGTGATCGTTAGGAAAATGGTGCCTGTTGTCCCAGAGGATGAAGAATTCCATTGCTGGAAGAGGTGGGTTAGGAGTTAGATAATAGGAGGATGAGCGTTAGCATATTTCAAACGCTGCTGGGTTGTCCCCTTACCGTGACAAGGAGCAAAACGTGAGGAATCAAGCCTTGCTGTGGGAACTTCAGGCTGCAGAGCACCCATCAGAGGTGGGTTCCCTCAGAACTGGCCTCTCCTGTGTTACTAGCTCCTGGATTTTCCTCTTGCAGACAAGCCATATTCAGTTTCCTGGAGGCGTTTACGGAACAGATGGAAAACCCATTCCAATAGAAAAGATTGTGAACTATTTCAATGGGTCCAATTGCCCGAGTTTGAGAGGAAAACCCAAACTCTTCTTCATCCAGGCCTGTGGTGGAGGTGAATCTTTGTTTTGGCTCTGGTAGCGTGTTGGCTGTTGGGAATAAGCAGGTTTTGGAGGTGTGGTTAGGCTTTGGCTTCATGTTCCTTTGTGGTTCAGTGCCTGTTTTTCCAGCTGTCTTAGAATTATAGAATCATGCAATGGTTTGGGTTGGAAAGGACCTTAAGATTATTTAGTTTGAAGCCCCTGCCCCGGGCAGGGACACCTTTCACTAGAGCAGGTTGCTCCAAGCCCCTGTGTCCAACCTGGCCTTGAACACTGCCAGGGATGGGGCAGCCACAGCTTCCCTGGGCACCCTGTGCCAGCGCCTCAGCACCCTCACAGGGAAGAGCTTCTGCCTTATCTCCAACCTGAACTTCCCCTGTTTCAGTTTGCCCCCACCCCCCCTTGTCCTGTCACTCCAGTCCCTGATGAAGGTCCCTCTCCAGCATCTTTGTAGCCCCCTTCAGACAGTGGAAGCTGCTCTGAGGTCTCCACGCAGCTTCTCTTCTCCAGGCTCAACAGCCCCAGTTTTCTCAGCTGGTCTCCATACAGGAGGTGCTTCAGCCCCTTCTCTTACCACTGAGTAATGTGAACACTGGGATCTGACTTGTTGCTGCCTTTTGCAGCGCAAAGAGATCGAGGCTTTGTAGTAGATTCCAATTCGCCTGGAGACGAAGCTCCCAGAGGTTCTGTGGAGCCAGATGCGACTCCTTCCCAGGCTCCATCAAGTAACATGGATGAGCCAGATGCTGTAGCCAGTTTGCCCACTCCCAGTGACATCTTGGTCTCCTACTCAACTTTTCCAGGTGAGAGAGCCAGGGGAATTGACCAAAATGTTGGAGCTTCATAGCCACAGTTGGGGAGTGTTTTGGGGCAACTGGAGATGGCAGTAACTTAGTGAGATGAGAACAGAAAACTGTCTTTGGCACTGATGTTCTCATTCTTCCTCTGCAGGTTTTGTCTCCTGGAGGGAGTTTTCGAGTGGCTCATGGTATGTGGAAACACTGGACAGTGTGCTGGAGCAATATGCCCCTTCAGAAGACCTG